GTGTGGAAGTGGATGAGCTTTAAGTTCCCTTCCAACCCAAACCATTCTGTGATTCTATGTGCTCAAATAGGCAGGACACCCGAAGACGGGCATCACTTGTTGCTTGGGGTACTCAGACCCCACCAGTGTACCCAGCAGGGCTTGTGTGCCTTGCATACCCCCTGCCTGGTGATGTTCTGCCCGCTCCTGGGAGCTCCCCATCCACCACCAGTGTATCTCCTGTTCACAGCCTCCTGTCGCCCTCTCCCCAGGTCTGGTTCCAGAACCGAAGAGCCAAGTGGCGCAAGCGGGAGCGCTTCGGTCAGATGCAGCAGGTCCGGACCCACTTCTCCACTGCCTATGAGCTGCCCCTGCTCACCCGTGCTGAGAACTACGCCCAGGTGAGCGCATCCCCCTGCCCTGGTACCTCGGATCCCGAGTGGTGCTTTGCTGCTTGGGTTCTTCCACTTGCCCCAGGTCTCCCCCAAGTGATGCTTCACTGCTTGGGTTCATCTACCTGCCCTCAAGAGCACAGGGGCTGGGGCTGTCTTGCCAAGCACTGAAGGAGTTATATAGCTGCGTGTCCTGCCCAGCTCCCTCTTGCCCTGGCCTGGAGCAGCCATCTCTAAATCAGGCATCAAGTCCACCCCTGCTTGACATAGTGAAGCCACCCTTTGGGTATAGGTCACCCTGCTCAGCACATGCTATTAGGGGGAGATTTAGGTTAGATATAAGACAGAAGTTCTTCCCTGTGAGGGTGCTGAGGCGCTGGCACAGGGTGCCCAGAGAAGCTGTGGCTGCCCCATCCCTGGCAGTGTTCAAGGCCAGGTTGGACACAGGGGCTTGGAGCAACCTGCTCTAGTGGAAGGTGTCCCTGCCCGGGGCAGGGGTTGGAGCTGGAGGAGCTTTAAGGTCCCTTCCAACCCAAACCAGTCTGGGATTCTATGATTACACTCTCCTCCCATCACGTGTGCTGCTGCCCGTTAACATCCCACTGGTCTGGAAAAGGTCCAAAAGGCTATTTCATGCCTAAACCCCAGCAGTTCCCAGAGAGGTTTCCCAGTGCTATGCCTGGTTTCCATGCCCCCTTTTTAGGCATTTTTCCCCTGGGAATTCTCCACAGCCATGTCCCAGCAATAGGCTGTGGCACCCGCAGTGTACTCAGTGACGTACGGGGATGCTTCCTGAGGGATTTGTGGGTTTGTGCTCCAAAGAAAGGAT